CAGTCTGCCTGCCTCCTTCACCATTACTTTCCCTGTCATATCCCTCCTTCACTGCAAATCACCAGTGATGATCCTTCTTAAAGCCTTCAGGATTCCTCCCTGCTAGAATTACTTAAGGAACTCTGGTAGCGAGTGGGCTAGTGGGGCTGCTAACCTCAAGGTCAGCAATTCAAAACTACGAGCTGTTCCGCGGGAGGAAAGATGAGGCTTTCTGCTCCCGTAAAGAATTACAGGAGTCCTGGTGTGGCACTCTGGGTTAATGCGTCAGACTGAAAAGCCGTTTGAACTGCAAGGTCGGAGGTTCAAGCTCACCAGCTGCTCCTTGGAAACCCTATACAGGGTCGCTATGGGTCGGAACCGACTCGATGGCACTTCACAACAAAAGATTTACAGCCTCAGAAACCCTGTACAGGCTCACTATGAGTCGGAACCGACTTCACGGCACACTACTACCACCACCAGAATTACTTGCTCCCTCCTCCATTCTCTTTACAACTGTATTACAGTAACACCATGAGCTCATCATTGCATAAGTCTGTTGCACCCCTTCCCCAATCAGAATGTGAACTTCATGAGGGTAGGGATGTGTCTTATCCCTGCCAATCTGCCTTTAACACAGGCAGCCCTGAGCTCCGCTGAGAGCAGGCAAGCGAGGGCCCTGCGGGTGCAGAAACGTTATATTCCGCCAGCAATCGTTTGCTTAGGTTCTCAAAGCTTGGCGGGTAGTGCCTTGGGGTGGTCGGGCTTCAAGGCCAGGATGCATTTGCTGTGCTTCTGTGCGCACCCACTCTGCCGGTGCCAACTGCCTCCTTCCGCCCTCCCGTTACGGTTGCCCACGCGTGAAGGGGCTGCCCACGTGTCTTCGGCAAGCTCTTCCTGGACTCTACGCCCAGGCTGCCCCTGCTCCGCCTGTGAGGCAGGGGACGGAGGAACCCAAGCTGGGAGGAACTGGTTGATCACAGCACAGAGGTGTGAGGCTAGGGGTGCCCCCTAGTGATCAAGCACCTGCATATGAGAAAGTTCCTAGAGGGCAAAGTACATGATCTCCTCACTTCCTTTTTGACTTCACTTCCCACTCTCTTCCTGCCAGCCACGTAGGTCTCCTTCCTGCCCCCCAAACACCCAGCACTGCTCTTGCCTCAGGGTATTTGTACTCACAGTTTCTTCTGCCTATAACGCCCTTTGCCCAAACACCCTCATGGTTCTCCCCTGACTTCCTGCAGTTCTCTGCCTACATAGGACCTCCTCACAAGAGGCCTTTCCCATTCTGTCACTCTGTGTGAAACAGCATCCTTGGGATCTCTCTCCCATTACTCATTTTTCTTCATAAAACTTGTCACTACTGAAACATATTCTCTTGTGCCCATAGTAATAATTTAACTCCAAAAAAGCATAGGTTTTGCATATCTTTTTCATTTCTCTATTGCCCAATTCCTAGAACATACTGGGATGTTGTTGTTGTTATTAGGCACCATTGAGTCAGTACCTACTCATAGGAGCTTAATATTTGCTGTACTTCTTCCAACTCAGATTTGTTTGTTCTTCTGGCAGTCCATGGTACTTTCGATATTATTCTCCAACACCATAACTCAAATGCACCAATTCTTCTCCTGTCTGCTTTATCCATCGTCCAGCTTTCACACGCATATGAATCAATTGAAAATACCATGGCTTGGGTCAGTTGCACCTTAGTCCTCAAACAGACATATTTGCTATTGAACACTTTAAAGAGGTCTTTTGCAGCAGATCTGCCTAATACAACACATCTTTAGATTTCTTGACTCCTGCTTCCAATGTGTTGATGTTGGATCCAAACAAAATGAAGTCATTTACAACTTCAGGTTTGTTTGTTTTTTGTTTTGTTTTTTTCTGTTTATCATGATGTCATTTAGTGGTCCAGTTGTGAGGATTTTGAATGCCTTGCAACTTGAGGGGCACATTTCCCAGCACTAAGTCAGACAATGTTCTGCCTTTATTTGTAAGATTTTCAGTGGTTAACCATTTAGAAGTAGTCCACCTCCCCTTCTTCCTAATTGGTTTTTAGTCTGAAAGTTCTACTTCCAGTAACTACCAGACTAAACCTGTCCCACCATAGTGACCCTACTGTATTTAAAATACTGGTGGCGTAGCTTCTAACATAATAGCAACACACAGGCCACCACAGTATAACAACCTGGCAGACAAGGAGTGGGCACAGATAACAGGATTTATAAAACATATTTTGGGGGATGTAACTCAACCCGTAACAGGCTTCCAGGTGGGGCATTCCAAGCCTGGGCTTTGATCCTATGCCTTCCTCTACTCTCAGATGGTCCGACTTATTGCCTTCATTTCAGTCACTAGTGAGTTCCCCAAATTCACTCAGAATGGACCTGGGGCTGCTCTCCTTGTCTCATCCTCCCAGGCATACAATGAGAAAAAGACACACACACACACACACACACACAGAGAAAAGCACAAAGACAGCAACGCACACAAGTACCAACAGAGAGACGAGGAAGAGAGAACCCCACAGAGTGACAAAGACTTGGCAAGTGTGACACTGAGACCCAACTTAGCCTCATGGGCCTGACCAGGGCAACTGTCAGTCCAACTGCCCCTTTTGAGCGAATTAGAAAAGGCCCTCCCTACTAAGGTGGACATGACCTCAGTCAGGAAGCCCAGCCTGGGTTGCCAAGTTCAGCGGACTGGCTTTCAGACCTCTCTTGCCCTTCAGCTAGCTATTCATGAGGTCCCTCCTCTGGTTGTCTGCACACCTACGAGAGGACAGCAGCTTTAAAACAAAGCCAGTCCTCAGGTCTGACCCACAGGCACATCTACAGAGTTCTCTTGAAGCCCTTCAGACAGGCTTTGTCTCTCTCCATGTGGGCCTTGAGCCCAAGCCCCGCCGCCTTCTACACTCACCCTTGGGGCCTTTTTGGGTTTCCAGGTCCCATCATCCACCGCAGTCACCAGTACAGGGGCCACAGGCCCCTCCTCCGCAGGCCTGCCAGTTGACCAGACAGTTGTCTCTCCAGGACAAAGACCTCTTCCAAAGGCTGAACTGAATGTTGGAGGCATTTCAGATCCTGCAGCAGGTGTTTGGACCACATCAGCCCTGCCTATTGCCCCCATGAGTGTCTGGCCAGCCCTCAGAAACCAGTCCCGGAGCCTTGTGGGGCCAGGAGCAGACCCTCAGGCCTGTGCCACATGCAGTTCCTTCCCCCTCTACAGGGACAGGACCAGGCTCCACACTTCCTGACCTCACAGACACTCTCCTCTCTAGTCGCAGGAATCCTGGAAGTGGACCATGAGCCTCATGGAAAGGAAGGCTGAGGAGCAGAGAGGGAAGGAATGTATATGGGGTCCCAGGTACTAGAAGCAAAGTGTCTGCCCTTCTCACTGCCCAGCAGCCCTGCCCTGTAGGCTCTCCTGACCCTGACAGGGTGGCCACAGCCCGAGAACTGAGATGGATTGAGCGATCATTCTGCTTTAAGAAGCCAAGGAGCTGGAGCTCCAACTGCTGTGGTACCTACCAGGTAGGTGCAGAAGGCAGGGTCCCCCGCCCTCACTCCCACCTCCTTATCCCCCACTCAGAGGACAATGATGGAGGGCAGGCAGAATCCTGGGTCTGGTCGGAAGGAGTAGTGTTCTCTCCACAGAAGCTCAGGGACAGAGAGTGGGACCACCATGAGTGTTCTGTCCATGTGGGCTGGGGACACGACTCCAGGTGCACGCAGAGAGCCTACAGGCTGCCCTCCAGCCTCCCCCCAGGATAGCCTGCCTTCTTGGAGGAAATGATCAGCACAGGGCAATTAGGGCACAGGTGAGTCATCTTGTCACAAGGCCACCTCCTAGTGACTCAGGAGGGACGGTCCAGATGGGCCTCTCTACCAGCCCTCAGCTCAGAGCCTGAGTCAAGGACTCCACGGACTCTGGCCAAGAAGCCCAGGAGAAAGCCCTCAGCCCCACCCATGAGCCACCCTCCCCCTTCCAACTTGACTGCAGCTAGGTCAGTGCAACTTCCGTCTCACCCCAACAAATAGTTGTTGCTGTTAATCCTGACAATAAGAGCGGCTGCCATTTTCTGACATTGGACACAGTGATATTGGAGGTCGTGACCCATGGGGAACGTCATGCAAGTGTCCATAAACAGCAGCGACAAAGAGAAGAGCTGGGGTCACTGTCTTCTCTCTTTCATGTATGTGCTAGGGAGTATGCTGGGAAGGGAGGAATTGGGGGCCCTCCACGGAGACCAGCAGAACCTTCTGGCAAACAGCAGTCCCTGGTGTCTAAATGAGCCCTACCCCAAGCCCAACCATGGGCCTGCAGGGAATAGGTGTCCAACCTGGGAACTTCCTCTCCTGCATCAGTCCTGGAGAGCCCCTCACCTATCCTCCCTACCCTGGCCTTCTGAGTCAGGGGCCTTAAATAACTGAGGCAGCTCCCCACGGTCAGTCTCAGGACCGCTTTCCTGGCTTTGTCCTTCAGCTGGCTGGGCAGGAACTTCCTGCCCAAGAATTCCCGGATCCTCCTGATGAGGCCAAAAGCGTGGCCTGGGAACTCAGGGATGGAGGGACATCAGGGAGAGGATCATGGGCAGCAAGACCTCCTCAGCACACTGGGGTAGGCTGCCCACCCCCCCAGGTCAGGCCCACCCCACTGCCTGACTTTTATGTCTGATGTCTCCATTGGAGCCCAGGGCTCAGCAGGCTGGCCTGGTAGGTCCTGGGCACAGAATAGGGATTAGACTGAGACCCTGAGAAGATGGGGCTTGGATGAGGCTGAGAATGAAGCAGGGGTACAAAGACAGACAGCCGAGCCACCAAAGGCAAACTGGGTTTTTATTACCAACATTGCAGGCCTGGTTCTGACGGTGGGGCCGTGCTGGGCTAGCCCACCCTGCAGACACAGGGACACTAGTTGTTCCAAGATCATCTGGCCCTAAGGGCTCCTTGGACATGTCATAAGAGGATGAGGACATATCCCAGGGCAGGGCAGGCTCAGGGCCAGCATCTACTTCACTCTGGAGGCCAGTTCCCCATTTCATCCATCTCCTCTAGCAGCAGGTGCTGGGGGCAGAAAAGGGTGAAGGAAGATGCCTCAGCACCTTTGGGCTCCCTCCCTGCCTTACTCTGCATCCTATAACTTTCCGATGAGATAAGATCCCAGAGACAAGATCCCAGAGCCACCTCTTCTAGCCCCTCAGCTAACGAATTCCTCCAGTCCTGAGACATTGCCCTCCCCCACTACTATGGAAGGGACTTTCTCCCTCTAACTTGTGGGGACTCCTTGGAGTCAGGCACCCAGCCAGCCCCTCCTGCTACCAGGGGGTTTGGTGCCCTTCCCTCCAGCCTAGGCTGCACTTCAGAAGCCTCACTGCTCCTCCCTCAGGTCCCTAGCATTCCTAGGGGGTGGTGACCACTGCCATCGAGTCATTTCTAGCTCATAGTGGGACAAAGTAGAAGTGCTCTTTAGGGTGCCGGAGATGTTCCATCTTTACAGGAGCAAACAGCCTCATCGTTCCCCTGAGGAGCAGCTAAGTGGGTTTGAACCACTGATCTCACAGTTAGCAGCCAGTGCTTATCCCATTATGCCACCAGGCCTCCTTATGATGAGGACAGGATCCTTGAAACACCTACAGGAGGGCAATATTCCTGAGGCAGCTCTGTGGCTAAAGTGAGAATGGAGCTGGGCCCTCACCTGTACCCAAGAACTCCCTAAACACACAATTCAAAACCCTTGTCATGGTGGCCTCGTGTGTTCTGGAGTAGACCTGCTCTGCTCCATAGGATTTGTTGGCTGTCATCTTTTGGAAGCAGGTCACCAAGCCTTTCTTATGCAGTGTAACTGGGTGGGTTTGAACCACCAACCTTTAGGTTAGCAGCTAATTGCAAACCACTTGTTCCACCCAAAGGTTTTAGAAACTTCCCAGGGACCTCTGAACAGGCTACCCCAAAACTGTGACTACCAGGACAGGGTCAGGTTCCGCTGCCAGCAGGCAGACTGGCTTAGAGAGTGTGGCATTGGAGGAGGAAGAGGAATGAGATAGAGTGAAGATGAAGGAAAAAGTCCCACTGTGGTCAAGTCAGTTCTGACTAACATCGACACCGCAGGGCAGAGCACATCTGTTCTTAGTGTTTCTGGGACTGTAAATCTTTACGGGAGTAGAGAGTTTCATCTTTCTCCTGAAAAGTGGCTTGTGGGTTTGAACTGCATAGACTTGCAGTTAGCAGCCCAATGCTTAACCCATGACATCACCAGGCCTCCTTGACCAAAGATTGCTGTTGTTGTTGTTATGTGCCATCGAGTCGGTTCCGACCCAACCCTGTATAGGGTTTCCGAGGGTGTAAATCTTTACGGGAGTAGAAAGCTCATCTTTCTCCCGCGGAGCAGCTGGTAGTTTCGAACCGCTGACCTTAAGGTTCGCAGCCCGATTCGTAACCACTACGCTACCAGAGCTCCTTAAAGATTGCTGTTAAGTGCCTTCAAATCAGTTCCACCTCATTGTGACCCTGTGTAGAGTTACTGAGGCTGTAAATCTGTGTGGGAGCAGAAAGCCTCATCTTTCTCCTGAGGAGCAGCTGGTGGGCTTGAACTGCTGACCTTGTGGTTAGCAGTTCAGGGTTTACCTTAAGCAATATTATATGGATTACAGATACACAAGAAAGTATTACAGCCTGTCTGGACCAAAAAGGGCAGAGAGAGGGAACTTAGCCAAGGCCATACAGCAAGTGCACAGCCAAGTTATGACATTAAAAGTAGACATCCTGACTCTGGATCAATGGCAGATACAGAAAGATGGGTGGAGAAACATATGTGTGTGTGCTCTCATGTAAGTGCGCACATGTGTGTGCACAAGCATGCATGCCCATACACAGGGGACCAAACAGGGTCCTAATCTCAGAAACACCATCACCAAGCAGGGATTATGCCTCCTAGGGCAGTGAGAGGCTGGAGACAGGGGTCAGGCCCGGTGGAGATAAGAGGTTTCCATTCCCCTTATCTTCAGTGTCCTGGGGCATACCTGGCCATCCACAATGCCTGCTGCCTCTAGGGTGATCTCTGGCTGGGCCAGCAGCTCCCTGCCCTGTGTGCTGCCCATCTTCCAGAGGCGTGACTCCCGTTGCACTGCCAACAGCTTCTTCAGCTCTGACTCCACAAAACCTGCAATCAGGAGAGGTCTGCATGGGACAGGCAGGACTCAAGGAAGAGAAGAGGGCTCTTACTCCCTGAATCTATGCGGTCCCTGGTTTTATAACGTTTTCTTCTTCCATTACCTGGATCCAGACAGGTACCACCTCTCCAGCACCCTGCCTTCCTCAGGAAGCTCACCTGCTACAGATTCCTGTGAATCCCCTCACCTCCTGGGGAGAACAACTTTTTGCCCCTCACCTCCAGCCACATACTCAAGAGCATGGATCTAGAACCGAACTCAAAATGCCTAGGCCAAGTCCCAGCTCTGCCACTTACTAGCTGTGCGACTTCAGACAAATTATTTAACTTCTCTGTACCTTCGTTTCCTCACTGTAAAGTAAAGGTAATAATGGGACCTACCTCACAAAGTTGCAATGCAGTTTACCACTTAGAATAAGGTCTGGCCCATAATAACAGTATGAAGGGAGTTTCAACACGTTTGTGGGAAAAGGAAATCAGAATTTTGATTATGGGATTTTCCCATCAACTTTTTGAAGCCTCCTCATATATAAGGGACAACAGTGATTTATTGTATTATGTTAGTACCATTGAATCAACTGCCCTCCATATCTGGGATGTTTCGGGGAGCGACTTCATGGGAAGGGGCAAAGTCTGGAGCACGGTCACAGCAATGCATGATGGAAAACCAGCCAGGAGGTGGCTTCCCAAAGTAGTTAGCAGCCTCAGGGCCCTGATCTAGGCTGAGGAAAGTGTGGTGCTCAAGTAGCCTCAGCCCCAATTACAGTCCCTGATCTCACTGCCTCTTAGACCCAGAGGAAGAAGGCCTCTTTTCTTTCAGACTACACCTGGCACAGCCCTGAGTCCAGTCACCTAGAGGCAACAAGCCCAACACCTGCCTGGGGAGGTCTTTTTAGGTCCTCTGGTACCACCTAGTGGTACAATTTGGTATTGCACATATGGGCCTCTGGCCATGTAAGGCTGGCTTCCTGGCTTTAGGGGTTGATTGGGGTGGGGGCTCCGCACTTACCCACTGTGTCTGTTGATCTAAAAATCCTATGCAGAGGTGATTGTAAGATGACAATGCCTGGGACACAGAGGTTAAATAAGCTGTCTTCTTCCTCTACTTCCTCTTCCTCTCCTTTCTCCTTCTCACGTGGTAAGCCTTCCTTGAGAGGAAACTGGGAGTGCCCCAAGTACCTGAGTAAGTGGTGGTGGGGGGGGCGGGGCACACCTACAGCCTCCTTCCCCAGGATACTGCTGCCCATGGACCCAAGCCGTATATTCTGCCCAAGTCAGATTTGGGCATGGGGGAGAAGGACCCACCCCAACTACCCCAGGCTGGTCCCACAGACCTTGGCCATGGCTGATTTTTGAAGCTGCTTGTACAAGCTGAGGAGGTGGTTCCAGGGAGTCATTCCTGCCTTTGAGGAGGCCACCTTGAGGTATCCTATGAAGGAAGAGTGGCCAGGCTGGTGGGGGTGGGAGTGGCCCAGGCCTGAGCTGGGAGGTGGGGAAGAGTTCCTGTTTTCCTTTGCAAACACCTATTATGTGCCAGTGTCAGGCACAATTCTAAACACTTTAACAAAGAACATCTCATTTGATCCTTGAGACAGGTACAATCATACTGTGTATTCCCATCTTATAAATGAGGAAATGGAGGCAGATACAGAAAGAGGTTGAGAAAGTTGCCACTATCACACAGCTTGGCAAGGATTCAGGCCCCACACCCCTGAGAAGCCCTGAAGGAAGAGAGCCATAGGCCACACTCACCGTCAAGCAGATACTCCTTCTCTGGCTCCCTGGTCAAGATCTTGGGGCTGACCTGCAGTGGCCCCACCGCCTTCTGCAGCCGTTCTTGCTCCATTTCCAGGGCCTGGGCAAAGTGGCCCCTGATTTCAAAACATAGTCAGGTGGGGGAGATGACTGGGGCCCAGAAAAAAGACAAGAGATCCCCCAACTTCCCCCAAGGGACCCTATTCAGCCCCTTCCATTCTCTCTCCTAATAGCCCCCTACTCTGCCCTCTGGAATTTTCACAATAGGGGCTAGCCCTCCCTAAAAGTCATGTGAGCAAGGTATTGTTGTTAAGTGCCATTGAGTGGGCTCCAAGTCATAGCGACCCTATAGGGTTTCTGAGGAATGGCTGGTGGGTTTGAACCCGTGACCTTACAGTCCAGTGCATTATCCTGCGGCACCACACCAGGAGGGTGCAGGGAGGCAGATTCCCCCTTCTTCACAAGAGACTAGAACTAGGAAGGTGTGGGGAAAGTCACAGTGGAGTTGGCACTGGAAAAGGAGGCTGGCACAGGAGTGGGACTGACATTTCCCACTCCTCAGGAGTAGGGAGCTCTGGCCCCTCCCTCTTTCATCCTTGGTCCTTCACCTACATCACTTGTGAGAGAACTTTTATCCCTGACTTCTTCCTCATCCAACACCCCAACTCCAGGTTCTGCCCCACACATTTGATGTTTCCAGCCCTTGGCACTACCCTCAATCTCTGCCCCCACAGTTCCACTCTCTATCCATCCAAGGACTCCCATTCCTGAACTTTCACCAAATTGGGGGTCACCCCCCATCTCAGGACCATATCCTTCCACCATCTTACATCCCAGACCTCTTTCCAGAATCTCCATCCCAGTCCCCTCCTCCCCTATCCACAGCTCCAGCCTCTGCCCCTTACCTGCCCCAGGCTCCTTTAGCACTGGAGGCTCGCCTTGCTGTCTCCTTCTTCTCTTCTCCCTCCTCTTCCTCCTTCTCAGACTGGCTGCCCAGCACTGCCTGGCTGCCTCTGGGCAGCACTGACTTCACCTCTTTGCCCTGGGCCAGCTCCCGCAGCATCTCCGTGGGGGAGAGGTTCTGGGCCCATGTGTCCCCCATCCCCAAGCATGAGTGATCTTGATTGTTCCGTGGCAGGTTCGGGGAGCCCTTCATAGTGACCATGGCCAGGGTACCCACCAGTGTGGAGGGCAGCCTGGACTCCCTCCTCTCCACTGGACCCTGGTGGCCCACTCTCAGGGGGACAGTGTGCTGTTCTTGGGAGGGACTTGCCTGGCCTCCCTTGTCAGTGCACTTCTGGCTGCTCTTGCTCCCCACCAGGTTACGGAAAAAGCGGAACATGGAGGAGCATCCCAAAATTTGGGATCGCTGGGTTGGAGCTGGGACCTCCATCCTGAGAGGAACCCTGACCCTAAGGGAGCAGTCCTAGTGGTCACCCCAAGACCAACTGCTTAAGAACAGGGGGAGCTTTCAAATGAAAACCTCCAGTTGGAAACTTCCAGGAGTTCTAGAAGGCACTGGTCAGGTGGGGGAAGGGGATAGAGTGGTGTATGTAGGCATGGAAGAGTAGCTGAAAGCAAAGAAGGCAAAGGGGTCTGAGGAGGCTGAGGGGAGAGGGGGTGAAGACTTAAGGGAGGGGATGTTGCTGAGAGCCCCCAGGAGGCCTGGTGGGAATGGACTGGGCCTAGGCTGACCCGAGAATGGGATGGGGAGCTGTCAAACATGTGCCCACACCTCCCTTCCGCCCTATCCCTGAGAACTATTTCCCAAGTCCAGACAGAATTTGTTCTCCCTCTTCCCTGCCCCTTTAGCACCCAGCTCATGCACATCCAAGTGACTGCACAGACCTCACTCTGCTTTCATCTCTGTTGGCTTGCTTGTCACCTTTTCCGGGTTTTGTATTTCCAGAGACCCCAAAGGTATTGGCATACAGGTTGAATCTTAATTTATTATTATTATTCCTCACGGCACTTACAGACCTGATTATAAACCCAGCTCAGTGACCTTAGGGGAGCTCCTTAGACCAGTTGAGCCTCAGTTTGTTCATCTTTAAAGTGAGCAGAGTCATGGGTTGTTGAGAAAACGTGATGTGATGAATGAGACAAGGCAGTTGCTAAAGTGCATGACACTTGGTTGGATGCTTAAGAAATCTTGTCATTCTGGCTATTTTTAAATTGGCATTGCTGGATGGAAGGAGGGAAAAGATCACGGACAAAGACTGGGAGTCAGAGGTGGGGAAAACCGTGGGAGAGGGAAGTCCCTCAATGCTCCCTGGCCGGGTGGGAGCTGCCACCCGCCTGGAAGCTGGGCTGAGGCTGGGTGTCGTATCCGGCGGTCACAGAGGAACTTCCTCTAGAGGGAGCTGATTTCAGCCGGCACAGCCCGCACCTCTATGATCTGCAGCTCTGCGCGGGTCCTTCAGGCCGTTCAGGACAAGCCAAGGCGGCATCAAGACACCGGGAATGCACTGCCACTGGTTTCTGGAAGCTGAGCCTTGGTAGGCACCCTGCCTCAGGGAGGAGTGCCCACCCCTCAGGACCTTGGGCCTTGGGTCTTGCTGAGCCATCCCCAGTCTAGGCTGGGATCTGAACAGGTACGCCGGGAGGGTGCTGCCCCTTCAACACCCATATCACAGCACCCTCCCAGGGTGCGGCAGGCAGTCTTCGGGGAGCTTGATGGTGAAGGGAAGGCCTTTAAGCTTTGCCTGGGCAGCTCCACCTAACTTTGTTGGGAGCCTGGCTGTGCCAGAGCTTCCTGCCGCTACTCTTTAGATGGCTTCCCATTTTGCCATGGCCCTGGGTGCAAGGAGAACCAGGTGGGGTGCCAGAGAACTGAGTCCCTAAGCTGTCTGGGGGGTGGGGAGTGGGTGGGAGTAGAGGTCAGAGACAAGGTCAAGAGCAGGAGAGAACTTTCAGGGCGTTTCCTGCTGCCCAGGAGCCCTAGACTAGGTCTAGAGCCTGGTCAGGTATCACCCCTCGGTAACATTCCACCAGGGTTGCTGACCCAGCTAGTCTAGGAGATGGGCGTGGAATGGACTCCCCTTACCAGGAAGTTGGGCCACTTGGAATGGGGGGCACTGGTAGGCCTATGCTGGTGTAAGCTTTTCCAAGTAGTGAACTCCTGGGGTGGTGGCAGAAGGGGTTAGAGGTATACTCAGCATCCTCAGGCCCTGCTGCTTGGGGGTGGGGTGGGAGAGGGAGAGTACCGGGTTTCAGAGTCTATGGGGGCTTGGAGGGAGGCGTCTTATTCTGGAAGGAGCTGCCAGGATTCGGGTGTGCCAGCTAAGTCCTGCTTTAAGGGGTCTGAAGGCTCATTGCCCTGAAGAGGGAGTGGGTCTGCCTTCCTGTCCTTGAGAAGATGGAGGGGTGAAGAGCTGAGTGCACAGGTGGTCAGCCCTTCCCCACCTGGTTTTGAGGGCTCCTGGGAGCTTTCAAAGATGGCCCCAGGCCTGAGAGGGAGGAAGGTGCGGGCATGGTGGCCCTTCCTGGGGTAGGCACTGCAGCGCTTGGCTTTGGTTGGGGCCACCCTTCCCAGGGTTAGGTGGAGGGGTCGTTCTCACCAGGGTGATGGAGGCATCCTCCAGGAAAATGGGGCTCAGAAAGAAGGATGGAAACTGAAAGTGAAAGCTCAGTCCAGGAAATGATCCTCTCAAGGGTTCACAGAGAGGAGTGTTGGAGCAGGACTGTCTGTGGTCTGGCCTGGACAGAGAGGAAAACTGGAACTAGGAACAGGAGAGCAAGTGTGTGGTGTGAGGTAGGGTGGGAGGCTGTGAGGAACACACTGCTTCCTCAGTTCACTCGGAGGCAGGAGTTGGGAGGGGACAGGCAAGAGGTAAAGAGTACCCTCTGAAGTCCCCAAACTGGAAAAGAAATCTGAACTGCGTGTTGAGATTACAGACTCACAGTGACTCCAAGAAGCAGTCTGAGTTTCTGAGATTAGCTATATGGCCTCGAGCATTAACTGTGCCCCACCTATAAAATAGGTATGGTGATGTTTACCTCACTGGGTTAATGTGACTTTCCAATGGCCAACACCAGTGAGTGTTCATACAAGATAGAGGTACATCATAGACACTCAGGAAATGTTTGTGGCTTGAACAAACGGAGTTGGAAAACAGGTGTGTTCTAACTGACCAAGGGGAAGTAGGAGCTTCAAGAACTTCATGGGTCATTGGCTAGAGGTGGCAATCTTTCGATAGGTATATGCTAGGGTGGGGTACAGGCGGGTTCTAGAGCAGCTGCCAGAACCTGTAGCCTCTGAAACTAGTCTCACTTGAGGTGAAATGGGACTTGAGTCCCACAGTACTCTGCCGCAGCCACACCCTCCCTTAGGCTCTGAGTGCCGCCTGAGGACAATGAGGCAGCAGAGACCTGGGTGTGAATCTTGGCTGCTTACTTAGTGAAGTTTCCTTGGCTGTTCCACATTTCACCCCACCTCCCCTGTAGAGTTGCCAGTAAAATGTTCAAGAAGTCCTGATTCTGCCCAGCAGACTCCACTGGGGTCCAGAGGTGGGATAAGATGTGACTGGAGCCAGGACTGGGAGCTCATTCCAGGAGTAAGGGTGTCCTCCCTGCTGGGAAGCCTGGGACTCTATCTGGAAACCCTAGTCTGTGGTTCCTGCTCATTCCCATCTCTGCTTTTTCTCACCTATCCTCACAGGCTGACGCTATCTTCCACGAGGACCTGAAAAATGGCGTCCGGGCAAGGCCCGGGTCCTCCAAAGCAGGGCTGCGAAGACCCTAACTCATCCTCCACATCTGGTAATGGTCTCCCTGCCCCCTTCCTCCCTCATCCCATAACATCTGTGTGGATGGACAGAGTTGAAGCGAACAGGGGCCTGGACTTTTGCAGGCTCTCCTGCCTCAGTTTCCCTACCTTGGAGAAAGGAGAAATGTGTGTCTCCCCACCCAAGGCAGGTGGCCTGTTGGGCAGAAGCTGCTGCTGCAGTCAAGATTAAACCCAGGGAGAGGGAGGAGCCTCCGTGGGGGAGGGCATAGAGGCTTGGAGAGGCCAGGGAGTGAATGGGAAGGTGGGCACAGCGTCATCATCATCACCATTGCAGGGCAGAGGGGCGGGGTCAGGGGTTGAGGGAGGAAGAAAGTAGAATGGGGCCTGGCTGTGATAAGTTCATAGTAGGAGAAATAAGGAAGTAAACGGCCTTATCACCAAGTCAGCTCAGCTCAACAGGGAAAGCAATTACTGTGACTTTGGGGACAGAAGTAAGATGGCTGCCCTTCCTCCCTCATCCAAGGGAGCCTAGAGTCCAAGTCCCTCCACACAAATCCAGGCTTCTCCCTGGACTTTGAGTTCAGCTCCCAGCTACGTCCCTATTTCCCTATGTGACTTTTCTAGGCCTGAAGTAACAGTTTCTAATGTGTTTCCCACACTTGTTCCTGAAGCCCACTGGTTTGCGTACTTTATACACACTGAAAGATACAGGAGCCCAAGTAGCTGGGATTATATTCTGGCTCTAGGGCTTGTTCCAGCTATGTAACCTCATGCATGTTACTTACACTCCATTGTAAAATGGGGATCATCTACTTCACAGGTTTCTGTGAGACTCATCTGCATATCAGACTGGCAGAGACTAAGCACTAGGTTCACTAGTGTATGTTTACTAAATAAAGGAGCATTGGTGATGCTCTGAGTTCCATGTTAAGCTGCTAACTGCCAGGTTGACAGTTCAAACCCACCAGCTGCTCTGTGGGAGAAAGGCAAGGTATAGTCTCTGAAAACCTGTGGAACAATTAGACTCTGTCCTAGAATCGTTATGAGTCAGAATCTACTTGATAGCAGTGAGTTTACAAAATGTTAACTGGGTGTAAAGTAAGGGGTGAGAGCAGGGACATTTCTGTTCCTAGGGGCGGGTCAAAGGCCTTGAACCACCCACACAAGAGGTGGGATACTAGGATCAACTTGCCCTCCCTGACTGCCAGCTTTGATCCTCAGAGGAGCAGGTAGCCCAGGACACAGAGGAGGTTTTCCGCAGTTACGTCTATTATCGCCATCAGCAAGAGCAAGAGGCTGAAGGGGCAGCCGGGCCCGCTGACCCAGAGATGGTCTCCTTGCTCCTTGAACCTAGCAGGTGAGTAGTGGTCCCTGGGGCTCACAGGGACATCCAGGAGCAGGGGCTCACTTGGGTCACGGTGTAAGTCCTGGGACCTGGGGAGGCCTTGGGGGTTTTGTCCTCCCACTGTGGCTCGGTTTTTTTTTCTTCCATTTTAGGTTCTCACGCTCATCAGGGACCATTCACCTTTTTATATTAGCTCATATTTGCTTATTGTCCATGGATCCAGCCTTCATATGCTGAGAAGTGTCAGGGACCTCCAAGGAGGGATATACAGGGTTATGGGGGTCTCAGGCAGAACTCACATTGTATGCTGTATGCCCAT